CTATTTTAAATGGAAAGCGCGAACTGAACGTGCGAGAATGATGAATAAGTAAATAAAGAAAAAAAGAAAAGAAAAGAAAAGAAAGAAAGAAAAGAAAGAAAGAAAGGAAGAAAAAGAAAAAGCAACGCCTACAAAGAAATATTCGTCTCAGTCGAGTAATTAAAGAAAGAAGAAACAGATATTTATAAAATGGGAAATAATAATACTTTTAATGAGAAGGAAGTTTATGAAATAATGAATTATAAAGAAAGAAAGAAAGAAAGAAAGAAAGAAAGAAAGAAAGAAAGAAAAGGATTGGATAAAAGAGGAAAGAAATAATGAATTATGAAGAAAGAAAGAAAGAAAGAAAGAAAGAAGGAAAGAAAGAAAAGAATTGGATAAAAGAGGAAAGAAATAATGAATTATGAAGAAAGAGAGAAAGAAAGAAAGAAAGATAAAGAAATGGATAAAAGAGGAAATGATAATAAAAAGAAGAAAAAGACTGATGAAGAGGAGGAATTAATGAAAGATGACGAAAGAAAGAAAGAAGAAAAAATGGATAAAAGAGGAAATAATAATAGGAATTATTATTATTTAATAGGAATAAATAATAATAATAATAATAATAATAATAATAATAATAATAATAATAATCGTAATCTCAAAAATGTGGCATGCATAACATTATCAATTCCTGTTGTAGTTGGAACCATCAAATCGGTTGGAAAAGATTCCAATAGACTCATGGAAGAGATTCCTCGTAGCCCATGCCTTAAAGAAATATAAAACATTGATCTCACGAGTACAACTCACACCTTTTCAAAGGGCTTTATCTATGTAAAATATGGGTGAGTTTTGTTTTTTCTGTGTTTTTTTTTTTTTTGTTTTTGTTATGTTTTTTTTTATTTAATTGCTCAGTGGAAAATGTCATGACGCCATTTCTGACCTTAGGTCTCTGTGTAGGACCCGGAAAGAAATGTGTACACCCCAGAAATCAAAAGAAATAATAATAATAATAATAATAATAATAATAATAATAATAATAATAATTATTATTATTATTATTATTATTATTATTATTATTATTCAACGAAGAAGAAGCTGAAGTCAAAGATGAAGAAAAGTTTAATAAAACTCAGACGAAATGGAAGAGCAGAATTCATTAGAATGCAATTAAATTAAAAAGACGAATGGTATGATATAGAGAAGGAGGTGAAATGAATGAAACAGAGTAAAAATGATCATGATCATGAGGAAGAAGGAAAAACAGATGTGGAGAGATAAAATCTTACAACAAGGAGAAGAAATTCAAATGAACTGAAATGGGCGGGAAAAGATTAATCAAAGAACGGTGAGAACTGCGCACATGAATAATAAATATCTGTATAAGTTTTGAATGAAGAAGAAAAATATGGTAAAATACAGCCGACGTCATTGGAAAGCCTACTTTCATCATCAGCACGTCAACAGCGACAACGACCATTGCGTGGAAAAAGATAAGCGGCATTTAAAGAAAAAAAAAATAACAGTGTGAAATCTATAAAATTAAATTAAAAAAATATATAATTTAAATGAATTACTATAATACATTCAACGCGAACAAGACACCGCAAAATTTTAAATATATTTTTAAAATTCTAAAATTTCTAAAAAGTCCGGAAACGAATGAATATATCGATAGTGCATTGATGTCAAAACTAGAAGCGGTGAATAACGGTGGAGACAGTTGGATACCGACCGTAAAGCAATTGTTTAAAAAAAAAAGCTGACGTGTAGGTTATGATCACGAATTCAATTCTCGCTTATTGCACAGATAATTAAATGATTGCTTCACCACAGGACGATCTTCAGTAAAGCTGTCTAGATAAAATTTATTCGTCTTGAAACAAATGCTATGGCCCAATATTTTGAGAGGTCGACAGTCTACTTATTATCATGTTCTATATATCCCCTCATGACACAGGACACCATGGCCCTCCACAATTTCCTATCCGTTTTAGCTCTTAATAAATTTTGTCTTTTTTCTCTCCTAAACCTTGTTCTGTCATCCATTTACACAAACCCGTCAATTATGTTATGCGGTCTTTTTCTCTGTCCAGTGAGTATCACATTTTCCAAGCCCGCCTTCCTCATTTTCTGCCCCATGATGTTGAATAGAAATGTTCTTTGAAGTTTTTATTTTCTTTAACCTCGTCATCATACTTATTATAAAAGCCAGGTTGTGTGTGTGTATGTGTGTGTCTGTTCGTTTATATATTGGATCGGATTTCCTACATTTTTCAACCGATTTCAATAAAACTTCACAGGACTACGTAAAATTACCTTGCGTTGGTTTTCACAGCGCCAAAAATTGGAAGAACACAATTGTTTTTGCACGAAATCAATTTGAAAGCACGATTAAGAGGCATTAATGAAAGGGGGATAACTCATACCGAGTTATACTTATAATATAACCCAGATTGTTTGTTTGTGTGTGTCTGTGTTCGTTTATATATGGGATCGGATTTCCTACATTTTTCAACCGATTTAAAAAAAACTTCACTTTTTTTTTGGCAGGTAGTGTTTCTTATTGTCTTGCACATTTTTTTCTTTATTTTTACATTCAGAATGCTTTAAAAATTTCATTTAAATTAAATTTAAGCAATGTAATGAATAGTGTTTCATATCTTCATTGTCAGTTCTTAAGAATAAAGAAAATATATAAATCCACTTATGCAAATACCCTTGGGAAAGGTATGAATCCACCTTTTCCCCACCTACACATCAAAGGGATGGTTATTCTCTTGACACCACTATTTTTGTATACACTTGTGACTCCTTTGTTTATTTACAAGATTATAAAAATATGTGAACCAAGTACAAACAAAGTGTTTCTTATTGTCTTGCACACTTTTTCTTTATTTTTACATTCAAAATGCTTTAAAAATTCCATTTATAAGACAATTGATTAAAATTCTATTCAATCGGTAGACTCATAACGATTGAAAACAATGTTTTTGTTTGAGTTTGGGTTTGACCAATTCGTAAAAAAACAAAAAAAAACTAATTAAGACCGTCAACCTTAAACAATAATCTTTGTCAATTTTATTTTTCAGTCTTTATGATGGTCGATACTTGATATATCTCTTACTGTTACATTCCCGGGCTACGCCAGCACTCCTTCTAGTATATATATATATATATATATATATATATATATATATATATATATATATATAAAATATATATATATATACGGATAGAAAAATGTTGACTTTAATATGTTTATCAGTAGACTAGACTCTACTGCTAGTTACTTATATGGTCGGTCCATGGTATCCTCAGCATTTATCTGTAGTCACCCTGACTCCCTAGAAAAAATATGACTGAGTAGGGGGTTCGATCCTCATCGGGTACCCTACACTTTCGGCCTTGTGTCACATATAAGCTATGCTTAGAAAATGATCAATACAATGGCGACTCATTTGAAAAGGAATACTAAAGGCGGTAGTTAAAATGGCCGACAAAGTGGAACGATATTGTGAGGATATAGAACAAGCAAGAGCAAGCTTTTCCGAACAGTGGGCGGTATCAGAGATGGTTCATTATGAAGCGTGCAGCACTAATAAAAAAAAAACATGAATTAAATTTTTCGTTGAATATAAAGCGGCCATTTTACCTACAGAAGATCTTACGCGTCTGCATTTACCTTAGAATTTGACAAAAAGTTGATATTTGGAAAAAAAGATTTTTTCTCCAAATTTAAAATTGAAGAATTTGTATAATATTACCGGCTGATGACATTGTGATTAATACGTGCTGTTGCATGTGAGTTATTCATTTGAAAATGCAAGAAAAATATTCTTAAAATAAAATCCCTTGCATAAAGAATTGCTGCCATAATATATGGTCTGGAGCCCCTTCTGTTTGTCTCGGGGTTCTTGATAAGATCCAGAGACAATGCATTTTAATTGGCCCTGAGTTGGCATCTCCTATGCAGTCGCTCTCTCACAGACGTTTCGTGGCCTCCCTCTCTCTTTTTTACATATACTTTCATGGTAATTGCTCCGATGAGCTGCTTTCGCTGGTTCCCAGACTCCATGAATTCAAGCGTCCTACGAGGCTGGCATCCCGCTCTCACCCTTTCACTGTTGAAACTGTTAAATGTAGCTGTCTCTTCGACGCCAACAGCTTCATATCTCACACCTCTCGCCTGTGGAACTCCCTTCCCTTTTCCTGTTTCCCTGATAGCTATAATCTCCAACTATTCAAATGTAATGTCAATAGACATCTCCGGTTGCCTTGATATATACACTATCCTTCTCTTCATCCTTTCCTTTAACATTCCTATTAACCTATTAATACGCTTAAATTCATAGAGTAAAGGTAACTTAGCGGAAAGTTCATCAGAAAAATGAAAACGTTTATAGAAATCGCACAGTTTTGTGACGTCAACAAACATTCGTTTCCACCCCTGTGATGTCAACGAATACTCGTTGTCACTTTCATAATGCTCGTTGTAGTAGAGACTTTTTAAACGCAGATACAACTATAATAACGCCATTGAACAATACTGGGGTCAGACGCCTTCGAATAGCACTCACGCTAATAGTACTTACTTGATAATACTCGCTCGAATAGTAACCACTAAATACTGTTCTTAATAGTAACCCGTATCGTGATCAGTATAGAGAAATAGTGTAGAATAGAAATGGTGATAAGAAAGTGTAATACAGGATAGAATAAAAATGGTGATCAATTAGACGCCCCGCTAATACAAATATATACATTTCCATTGCCATGATGTGATGTCAACGAACACTCGTTGCCTCTTTTGAAATGTCAACGAATATTCGTTGTCACTTTAGTAATGCTCGTTGTAGTAGAGACTTTGTAATCGCAGATACAACAATAGTAACGCCGTTGAACATTACTGGTGTCAGACGCCTTCGAATATCACCCGTACTAAAAGTACTTTCTCGATAATACTCGCTAGAATAGTAATCAGTATAGTGATGCGAATAGAGAAATACTATATAGTGAATAAAGTAGAGAATAGCGGTCCTAATAGTAATAGACGATAGACTACAAATAGTGATCCGAATAGTAATAGAGGATAGACTAGAAATGCAGATCAATCTAGACGTCACGCGACTCCCTATATATGCGTTTCCTCTGTGATCACGTGATCCACATAATACAACAATGGGATCGCCTGTGTTTGCTCACTGGCGATCTATGTTCAAACTCAAGAGATGGCTGTGACACTTTATTCCTATCTAACACACAGAGAAACTACGGCACATCGGGTTGGAAATTGCTGGAAGCCCAGCTGCCAGGTCAGGATCAATAACATTGCAGATTGTCTTTTATCAAGAATCTTTAAATGCATAGCAGAAGCACCAGATCAGACCTGACTAGGCCAGACGCAACAGCAATATTTAAAGCGTGGAGAAACTGTAGAAAAGTGTAAATGCGTAAAATAGATTCTGTCTAGAAAGAATGTGTAGCACAACACTGTGAACCAACTTTTCTAGTATCAAAACTAGAAATTGATTCAATATAATCGTTCCACTTCATCTCAGTTGAAATTTTTAACTCGAGAAAGCATAATGAGTCGTTCACGTGGAGGTTAGCATCAGCCATGTTTAGTTTGTTGCCAGACTTAATTAAAACAACGATGGTTACTCCAAAAGTAATGTTTCTTCTTTACCTCCAAGGAAACATCGGCAATTGCAAGGAGTGTAATGACACCGTGGGGTAGATCAAGTTTTAATTTTGAGAAACAATTTTCCCCGATATATACGCTGAAGTTACGGACGTAGGTATAAACCTTGTGGTCAGAACATCGTTTGTCACGCACTTCGGTCCTCTTGCTGATGAAACACAAAATAAAAGAACTAAACGTGCTCACATCCACTTTTTGGTCGCCATAATCATTCGATTTTTTCCGAGGCACTTTCCTATCAAATGTCATTTTGCCTGACTGTTGAACAGGTGCGATTTTTAAATAAGCAAAAATTGTTGATGCGTTATGGGGTGTGGAAAAATTCTTCAGCCACTACTGTAATGGCACCTCCATAAGCCTGAGGTGTCCTGCAGTGACATCATAAAACAGGAAGCATTAATTCAGTTGAGATGCTCGGAATAAGAATATGATTTTAAAAAGAAATTCAGGAAAATTGTCATTCAAAGATATGTTTGAATAATAAAAATAATGAAAAAGTAATTTTAAAAAAATATCAGACAAAGAAGTTTTTAAGATTATATATATATATATATATATATATATATATATATATATATATATATATATATATACAGGGTGTCCATAAAGTTCTTGTGCACTTGAAAAAATTTATAACTTTATTTGTATTTGCGATAGAAATAATCTGTAGAAAATGTTATAAAGTTTAATGTACCTAGTTTTAAGTATAGCTAAAATAACTAATGTGATTTCAGGCATTACTGTAAATCAGTTGGCAAATGTTTTCCGTGAACTGCAAAATCGTATTACCCTTTGTATTGCTAATGATGGAGGACATGTGGAAAGTTAAATAAAATTTCAAGAAAACTTTAAAAAATATAGATTTACTTCTTTCTAATCATTTTTACAAATTATTTCTATCGCAAATACAAATAATGTTATAATTTTTTTAAAGTACACACGAACGTTATGAACGTCCTCACTATCTCTCTCTCCTCTCTCTCTCTCTCTCTATCTATATATATATATATATATATATATATATATATAATGTGTGTGAAAGGAAAATATGATCCCAGACGAGAAAAGGAAGAGAAATCTGTTTTTCAAAAGGGTGATATTTTCTGAGAAAAAAATGGAAAAATTGTTGAACGTTTTTAGGGTAGGTGGTGGGGGATAGAGTGAATGAGAATCAGAAAGAAAAAGGATGGTTTCTTGATTGATGAAGAACACAACGATAACGAGGTGTCATTGCGCATAGAAGAAGAAGAAGAAGGGGAAGAAGAAGAAGGGGAAGAAGAAGAAGGGGAAGAAGAAGTAGAAGAAGGGGAGGAAAAGTAGACGAAGAAGAAAAAAAGAGGAAGAGGAATAAGAAAAGTGGAAAGAAGAAGGTGCAGGAAAAAGTAGATGAAAAGAAAGAAGGAGAAAAAGAGGAAGAAGCAAAGTAGAAAGAAGAAGAAGAAGAAGAAGAAGAAGAAGAAAAGCGCTGGAGGAAAAAATATAATAAGGAGCCGAAAGAAGAAAGCGGAAGATGAAGAGGAGGAGGAGGTGGAAGAAAAAGAATACGGAAAAGAAAATGAGGAGGAGGAAATTATGATTAAGCAAAGTAAGGAAGAAGAAGAAGAAATTAAGACGAAGAAAAGGACAAAGAGGTGGAATTCATGTTAGGGCAAAGAAGAAAGAGAAAGGTTGGAACCGGAGAAGGAGAAGAAAATTAAGGTTGAGCAAAGAAGATGAGTAGAAGTGGGAGGGGAAATTATAATTGGGCAAAGAAGAAGTAGGGGTGAGGAAACCAAGATTGGCGAAAAAATGGAGGAGGAGCGCTTGGAGGACGACATTGTGTGTGTGCAAAGCAGGCAAAGCAGAAGAAGAACAAGAAGAAGGTGGAGGAAAAAAGAAGAAGAACAACAACAACAAGAACAAGAACAAGAACAAAAAGCTGGAGGAAAAAAAGAAGAACAAGGTGGAGGAAAAAAGAAGAAGAACAACAACAACAACAACAAGAACAAGAACAAAAAGCTGGAGGAAAAAAAGAAGAACAAGGTGGAGGAAAAAAGAAGAAGAAGAAGAACAACAACAACAAGAACAAGAACAAAAAGCTGGAGGAAAAAAAGAAGAACAAGGTGGAGGAAAAAAGAAGAAGAAGAACAACAACAACAACAAGAACAAGAACAAAAAGCTGGAGGAAAAAAAGAAGAACAAGGTGGAGGAAAAAAGAAGAAGAACAACAACAACAACAACAACAACAAGAACAAGAAACAAAAAGCTGGAGAAAAAAAGAGAAGAACAAGGTGGAGGAAAAAAAAAGAAGAAGAAGAACAACAACAACAAGAACAAGAACAAAAACTGGAGGAAAAAAAAAAGAAGAACAAGGTGGAGGGAAAAAAGAAGAAGAAGAACAACAACAACAAGAACAAGAAAGAAAAAAAAGCTGGAGGAAAAAAAAAAAGAAGAAGAACAAAACAAGAACAAGAACAAAAAGGAGGAAAAAAAAAGAAGAAGAAGAACAACAACAACAAAAGAACAAGAACAAAAAGCTGGAGGAAAAAAAAAAAGAAGAACAAGGTGGAGGAAAAAAAAGAAGAACAACAACAACAACAACAAGAACAAGAACAAAAGCTGGAGGAAAAAAAAGAAGAACAAAGGTGGAGGAAAAAAGAAGAAGGAAGAAGAAACAACAACAACAAGAACAAGAACAAAAAAGCTGGAGGAAAAAAAGAAGAACAAGGTGGAGGAAAAAAAAGAAGAAGAAGAAGAACAACAACAAGAACAAGAACAAAAAAGCTGGAGGAAAAAAGAAAGAACAAGGTGGAGGAAAAAGAAGAAGAAGAAGAACAACAACAACAAGAACAAGAACAAAAGCTGGAGGAAAAAAAAGAAGAAAATAAGAGGAAAAAAAGAAGAACAACAACAACAACAACAACAAGAACAAGAACAAAAAGCTGGAGGAAAAAAAAAAGAAGAACAAGGTGGAGGAAAAAAAGAAGAACAAGAACAACAACAACAGAACAAGAACAAAAACTGGAGGAAAAAAAAGAACTGGAGGAAAAAGAAGAAGAAGAACAACAACAACAACAAGAACAAGAACAAAAAAAGCTGGAGGAAAAAAAAGAAGAACAAGGTGGAGAAAAAAAAGAAGAAGAAGAAGAACAACAACAACAAGAACAAAAAGCTGGAGAAAAAAAAAAAGAACAACAAGGTGGAAAAAAAAAAGAAGAAGAACAACAACAAAACAAGAAGAAAAAGAAGAACAAAGCTGGAGGAAAAAAAGAAGAACAAGGTGGAGGGAAAAAAAAAGAAGAACAAAGAAACAACAACAAGAACAAGAACAAAAAAGCTGGAGGAAAAAAAAGAAGAACAAAGGTGGAGGAAAAAAAGAAGAAGAAGAAGAACAACAACAACAAGAACAAGAAGTGAACAAAAAAGCTGGAGGAAAAAAAAAGAAGAACCAAAAGTGTTAAAAAAAAGAAGAACAAGAACAAGAAGCTGGAAGAAAAAAGAAGGTGGAAAGAAGAAGAAGAAGAAGAAGAAGAAGAAGAAGAAGACGACGACTTATGACATTAAAAAGAGAAATAAAAAGGTACAAACAGAGAAAAACAAGGAAAGGTAGAAGACAAGACAGTAGCCGGTAAAGCTTGTAGATGATGTCAAAAGAGAAAGACGTCCATTTTGTTTTAAAATCTCGCGAGAACGAAGGTAAGAAAAACTGGATGTGAAAAGAAACGAATTGAACAGAAAGGATGATAAAATCATTGGGTCCCAGTTTCGTACAGATCTGTTTTTATTTTATGTGACCTCGAGTGAATAAGTATATCCCTGAAGGTGGGTGTTTGTCGTTTTAGAACAGGGGGCAGAGAAAACAAGTTAAGACGGAAAAGAATAATAATAATAAAAAAAAGACATTTTTTTTTCTTCTTAATAAAACTTTTTTTTTTCATTTTTCGTAAGATTTTGTTTTGTCTGATGGTCGATCACATATTGTAGACATTTTTTTCCAAACCATCTTTTCAAATGATTATTTTCATATAGATAGATGGCCCATGGCCATATCGAGCTTAAACATCGGTTCCTGTAACATCGCTGAAGTTAAGCAACGTCGAGCCTGGTCAGTAACTAGATGTGTGACCGCTTGGGAATACCAGGTGCTTACAGCAATATGACACTGAAACAACAGGTGACTGCTTCTGAATACCGGGTACTGTAAGCTTATTTACAGTAATAAATGTAATAAATATGGCGACAAAGATGAGGACAATAGACCAAATAATGTAAATAGTGTACATAATACCTCATCCCAAAAATATAACAGATAATGAAAGACCGAAACGTTCACCCAATAAATATGGCGACAAAGATGAGGATCTCAGTCCAAATAATGTAAATAGTGTATCCATAATACCTCATCTCAGAAATATTGACAGATACTGAAAGGCCGAAAAGATTTGTAATAAATATGGCGACAAAGATGAGGACATTTGCGTCCGAATAATGTAAATAATTGTACATAATACCTCATCTCAGAGAAATATAGACAAATCTCGAAAGGCCGAAACGTTGTTATAAATATGGCGACAAAGATGAGGGACAATAGTCCGAATAATGTAAATAATGTACATAATACCTCATCTCAGAAATATAGACAGATACTGAAAGGCCGAAACGTTGTAATAAATATGGCAACAAAGATGAGGACAATAGTCCGAATAATGTAAATAGTGTACATAATACCTCATCTCAGAAATATAGACAAATACTGAAAGGCCGAAGCGTTGTTATAAATATGGCGACAAAGATGAGGACAATAGTCCGAATAATGTAAATAATGTACATAATACGTCATCTCAGAAATCTAGACAGATACTGTAAGCTTGTATTTGCGGGTGGTATTTCTTGCTGTCACATCACTTTGAAACATTGTTTCTCGTGCGATCACCGTAGTTACGAAACCTGGAGCCTGGCAAGGGTTTACACGGTGACCGCTTGGGGTTATCAAGCGCTGTAAGCATGGATGGGCGGTAATGGATAATGGTTAGAGAGAGCCGAGTTCTAATTCCAATCGAGTTCTTTATATTCAAATATGCTCATTACACTAACGAAAGGCATGAAGCCACCTTTTCTCCCCTTCCTATGGATTAATTATTATCAGTAAAATCATTATTATTTTCTCCCCAAAGACATTATTAGAAGCCAAAATTATTTTCTTGCCTAAATAACCTGGAAAAGATTGATTAGCCGTAAAAAAAATCATCGGTCAATCAGATAGTAAGATAAAGATATAAATATCAAAATGTGAGAAAGAACAGATTCCACTGTTGGCAGAAAAAATGCTCAATACAAAGTAGAGCAATATATTATTATTATTATTATTATTATTATTATTATTGTTATTGTTGTTATTATTATTATTATTATTTTTTTTGATTTCTGGCGTTTACACATTTCTTTCCGGGTCCCGCCTCGGGACCTAAGGTTAGAAATGGCAGCATGACACTTTCCACTGACAAAAAAAAAAAAAAGAAAAAATTACATAGATAATGCCCTTTGTAAAGTGTGGGCTGTACTTGTCAGAACAATTTTTTGTATCTCTTTGAGGCATGGACTTCCATGAATCCCTTCAATGAGTCTACTGCAATCTTTTCCAACCTGTCCTAGGGCTCCAACTACAACAGGGATTGTTGATGTTCCCATATGCCACATTTTCGAGTTTTCTATTTCAAGGTCCTTGTATTTTGACAACTTTTTGAATATCTTCAAAGATACATTGCAGTCACCAGGGACTGCCATATCAATAAGGAGGCACCGTTTTTGTTTGTGGTCTTTAATAACAATATCTGGGCGGTTGGATTTGATTGTTCTCTCAGTGTGTATTGTGTAGTCCCATAAAATTGTAACAGGTCCTATCTCCGTAACCGGGTCTGGGTGGTGTTCATACCAGTTTCTTTCACTTTCCTTCCCGTAAAGTTACAGATTTTCCAGTGCAGATATTGGCCCACTCTGTCATGTCGGGTTTTATATTCAGTGGCTGCCAACATCGTGCAACCTGATACAAAATGATCAATCGTTTCTGGATATTTATCACAGAATCTGCATTTGGGCTGACGCAATATTTTAGTATATGTGCTTGATAATTCCCTGAATTAGCAAGCATTGGTCCTGCGCAACAAGGATAAAATCTTCAGTTTCCACTTTCAACCCTGCACTTCGTAGCCATTGATGGGTACAGGTTTATCTAAATCAGCTTGTTTGGTACGGCCAGAGTATTAGCCATGAAGCGGTTTATCTTGCCATCGCTTTTGTATCTGGTTGGTTGCATTCGTCCTTGCTGTCTTTTTTTAGGTATTTTGCAGTTTCAGCCGGTGTATAGTTGCATCTCTACGCCCATTTGAAATTCCATTTTGAATTTGTTGGCTTCTTTTATTACGGAGTAAAGACGCTACTTTCATGTTCCTTGACGCATACCATCATCCAGTCTTCTGTAGTTTCCAAGTATCTTTGGAGGCCAATTGTTGTAGTTTTGTAGGACAGTTCTAGTTGAACTAAAACTCTGCCTCCTTCGGATCTGGGCACATACAGACGATCGACATCAGCTTTGCGATGATGCATATTATTATTATTATTATTATTATTATTATAAAAACATAATGAAATCTTTACACAAAAACTTTCATGTTCCAATACTTTGATTGTACTTCCTTTAGGCGATGGTATGTAACAGGTAATTAAATGATTTTTTTTTTAAATTAAAAAAATGAAAGAAAGAAAGAAACAAGTGAACTGTAGAAGATATGTGAAAATGAAGAAAGAAAGAAAGAAACAAGTGAACTGTAGAAGATATGTGAAAAATGAAGAAAGAAAGAAAGAAACAAGTGAACTATAGAAGATATGTGAAAATGAAGAAAGAAAGAAACAAGTGAACTGTAGAAGATATGTGAAAAATGAAGAAAGAAAGAAAGAAACAAGTGAACTGTAGAAGATATGTGAAAATGAAGAAAGAAAGAAACAAATGAACTGTAGAAGATATGTGAAAATGAAGAAAGAAAGAAAGAAACAAGTGAACTGTAGAAGATATGTGAAAAATGAAGAAAGAAAGAAAGAAACAAGTGAACTGTAGAAGATATGTGAAAAATGAAGAAAGAAAGAAAGAAACAAGTGAACTGTAGAAGATATGTGAAAATGAAGAAAGAAAGAAAGAAACAAGTGAACTGTAGAAGATATGTGAAAATGAAGAAAGAAAGAAAGAAAGAAACAAGTGAACTGTAGAAGATATGTGAAAAATGAAGAAAGAAAGAAAGAAAGAAACAAGTGAACTGTAGAAGATATGTGAAAATGAAGAAAGAAAGAAAGAAAGAAGCAAGTGAACTGTAGAAGATATGTGAAAACGAAGAAAGAAAGAAAGAAACAAGTGAACTGTAGAAGATATGTGAAAAATGAAGAAAGAAAGAAAGAAACAAACAAGTGAACAGTAGAAGATATGTGAAAATGAAGAAAGAAAGAAAGAAACAAGTGAACTGTAGAAGATATGTGAAAATGAAGAAAGAAAGAAAGAAACAAGTGAACTGTAGAAGATATGTGAAAATGAAGAAAGAAAGAAAGAAAGAAACAAGTGAACTGTAGAAGATATGTGAAAATGAAGAAAGAAAGAAAGAAACAAGTGAACTGTAGAAGATATGTGAAAATGAAGAAAGAAAGAAAGAAAGAAACAAGTGAACTGTAGAAGATATGTGAAAATGAAGAAAGAAAGAAAGAAACAAGTGAACTGTAGAAGATATGTGAAAATGAAGAAAGAAAGAAAGAAAGAAACAAGTGAACTGTAGAAGATATGTGAAAAATGAAGAAAGAAAGAAAGAAAGTGTATGAAAGGAAGAATGTACAAAAGAAAGAAAGCAACAAGCAAGAAATAAAAAGAAATAAATGAGTGAATTGTAGACGATATGTAAAAACAGAAGAAAGAAAGAAAGAATCAAGTGAACTGTAGAAGTTATGTAAAAACTAAAAAATGAAGCAAAGATGAAAGAAAGAAAGAAAGAAAGAAGGAAGGAAAGAAAGACGAGGAAAAAAACGAGTGAATTGCATGGAAAAACTGAAGAAATGAATAAAGAAATAAAGCAAGAAAGAAAGAAAGAAAGAAAGGATGACTGGAAGAAATAAAGAAAGAAAGAAAGAAAGAAACGAGCGAATTGAGAAAAATATATAAGAAAGAATGACAGACACGAATGAATTGTATATGTCAAACTAAATGAAAAAAGGAAAGAAAGAAAGAAGAAAGGAACAAAGAAATGAGTGAATTGTATAAGCTTTGTAAAAACTGAACGAAGGAATGTAGAAAAAAGTTAAGAAAGAAAGAATGAATGAATAAAAGAATTAAAGAAACGAGTGAACTGTAGAAGATATATAGAAACTGAACGATGAAAGAAAGACCGATAGAACGAGAAATAAAACAAATATGTAGGGTGTTGCAATAGTCTTGCAACATAAAGCTACTGTTAAGTGGCTACAGAGCTCACAAGAACTCAAACTCATGGATTTTTTTTTCTATGGGGCCATTTGAAATCAGTTGTTTATCAGACGCGCTCAAGAAATATTGAGGAACTTAAAGAAAGAGTGAAATATGAATGAAGTCAAATGACAGAAGAAACTCCCTGACGTGTTGATGAATCCTGCAAGTACAGAATTGAAATGTGTTTTGAAAAAGAAGGAAGCCATTTTGAGCAGCACACAACAATTAAATGAGGAGTAAATAATTTTTTCTTAATAAATCTATCCCTATGGTGCGCGAATTTGGTCTCGCCAAGTAGACAATATGGAAAAACTGATGAAAGAATGAAAGAAAGAAAGAAAGAAAGAAAGAAAGAAAGAAACGAGTGAACTGTAGAAGTTATGTAAAAACTGAAAAATGAAGAAAGAAAGAAAGAAAGAAAGAAAGAAAGAAAGAAAGAAAGAAAGAAAGAAAGAAAAGAGAAATAAACGAGTGAATTGTAGAAGATATGGAAAAACTGAAGAAAGAAAGAAAGAAAGAAAAAAGGAAAGAGAGGAAGGAAGGAAGGAAGAAAGAAAGAAAGAAAGAAAGAACGATAAAAACAAATGAAACAAATCTATAATGGGGAAGAAAAAGAAAGAAAGAAATAAAGAAAGACAAGACGTAAGAGT